AAGCCGCCAAGGCGGAGGAGCCCCGCTGTAAAGGATAAGAACGCTCCCTAAGGAGAAAACCTAACCCAATTTTACGTCTACAGCCGTTTGCTTTTTATCCCTAAATGCCTCAAACGCAGCAGCGGCCGGGAAGAGTGAGTCGGTGCCACTCATTGAGCAGCCAGACGTCGCCGCCTGTGTTTTCTAATCCTGGGCGTTTTCCTCGCCTTACGACGGCAGCAGCAGCAGCAGCAGCAAAGGTCCTGGGACTCTTTCTTCGGCCGCAGCAGGGGAAGAAGAGGGTGACCATGCTCGGCTTATGAGAACCCCAGCTTGTATCTCCGTCGTAAGTGAGCTGGGGGGGTTCCAGAGCCGGGACTGAGCCGGGCTGAGGCGCTGCGAACTCTGAGTCCAGTCCTCAGCGTGATGGCTGGATAGGTTTGCTGGGAAAGGCCGGGAGGCGTCAGAGCAAGTAAAATAAACGTCAGGCTCCTCCTGGAGCTCTCCCAGAAATCCAGCCCGTTCGCTCTTTCTTTGCAAAACCTCGGAGTTCAGGACGTAGAATCTTTTCAATAGGAAATTTGGCATCTGCTTGTGATACAGCGTGTTGTGCAAAATACAGCGATTGCTTTAGCATGTTGCGAGAAGCAGACCATCGTGGAAAGGTGAAATATGTTTGCTTCCTTACCTGGAGCATGTAATAGAGCAGTGGTGAGCTGTAAACGAAGCCCTTTTCCCCTTTCCTGTTCATAATCCACCCATTTCCCCCTTCCAGCACAATGTCCCTGCTGTTCCTCCGCTCTAAGTCCATCATCACTAGCAAGAAGGACAAGAGACATATGGCGGAAGTCAGTGCCTCCCCACTCAAGCACTTTGTCACTGCCAAGAAAAAAATTAATGGCATCTTCGAACAGTTGGCAGCCTACATCCAGGAGAGCGCGGCATTTCTGGAGGGTGAGTGGGCCTTAGGTGCCACAGTGCTCCCCGACTCGTGCACACAAGCGAGCGAATTCCCACAGCTGGAGGAGGACCAGATGCCTGAGTCCCTTCTTTAAAAGAATTATTTTGCTGGTTGAGGTTAGAAATTGAATCTGGGGCCTTCTGTGCCTGTAACCCTTTTGCTTCTGCCTTTTTGTTCTTTTGTACTGGATTTTTATTTTCTTAAAGTATCCTTGCTGTTTTGGTGGTGTTTGCTGGTTGGCTTTTATTCTGCTGCTTTTAAACTTGGGTGCCGTTTCTACACATCTGCTGAGGGCTATCCAGCTACGGTTTGTTTTCTTATTTATGTAGCGCTATCTGCTTCAAGGGTGCAAACAGACTGGTCTCTGCCCCAAGGGGCTTACAATCTCAGATTGGACTAGGAGGGAGGAAACAACAGAAGGAAGGAAAGAATGCATGCTTATTCATATCTCTCAGGTTCTTCCTTTCTTTCCTAAATTCAGTCCCACTCTCTGCCTCCGGTTTGCCACCCCTCCGTATTGGTGTGCTGATCCAGTTGTATTTTGGTCAAGGTTTTCTGCACGTTTTGAATGTGGCGACCTGACCCAACCAAGGCAGTGCAGAGGAATGCTGGGGCTTGTAGTTCAGAAGCAGGCCGAGAGTTTGCCCACTCTTGTTTTAGCTTGGCATTATCTTTTTTGCTGGGAAAAAGTCTTGAAATGTCCTTTCTCTTCTTTGTTGTACAAGAGCCTTCTGTAACTGGAGGTCTTGGGGGGTCAAAGCACTGATCTCCCACGGGCCCAGCTTGATACACTGTCCTTTGGTTTTTCAGAAACGCACAAGAATGGCGAGCTCGACCCGGTCACCACGGAAGAACAGGTGTTGGAGGTCAAAGGCTACCTGTCCAAGGTCAGCGGGATCAGCGAAGTGTTGGCAAGGCGACACATGAAGGTGGCTTTCTTCGGGCGGTGAGTCAAGGCGTCTTCCTGGCCAGGAGAGTTGCTAGTATACACTGCTTGGACCTGGGGCTCTCCAGGTGGGCTGGACTACGTCACCCATCATTCCGAGGCAACTCTGCAAAGCCCACCGGGAAGATTCCAGGCCAGCAAAGTTGCGAGTAGGCCGTTCCACCTGCAGGGGTGGGTGTGACTTTGTTCCCTGGAGTTCAGAACTCTGCACAGTCCCAAGGCGAAGCTGCAGGGCTCTCGTGATGTCCCTGCGTCTAGATATCAGCTACCTCGTAGGGTTGTTGTGAGGATAAAATGGGAGGACGTGGTCCTGTGTGTTTTGTGGTTCTTAGGACGAGTAACGGGAAAAGTACCGTGATTAATGCCATGCTGTGGGATAAAGTCCTTCCCTCGGGAATCGGACACACCACGAACTGCTTCCTGCGAGTGGAGGGGACAGACGGCCAGGACGCCTTCCTGCTCACCGAAGGATCCGAGGAGAAGAAGAGTGTCAAGGTACGCATCGTGGGAACTCCCCAAAGATTGGCCCTTGCAGGACCAGAGAAACTCGGGGAGAAACTTATATTCTGCTTTGAAGTTGTTGGCTTGGATAGGTAGTCTTCGGGTGGCCCATGGCTTCAAACCTAGCGGTTTAACCAGTCATCACCTACATTTCCCAGTGGACTGTTATTAACTCCTGACTTTTTGAAACTTCTTTTCCTGCTCTTGCTAATTGTCTTCTCCGGCCATTTTCCTGGATCAGACGGTCAACCAGCTGGCTCACGCCCTTCACCAGGACGAATTGCTGACTGCCGGCGGCCTGGTCAGCGTCATGTGGCCAAATTCCAAGTGCCCTTTGCTCAAAGATGATCTCGTTTTGATGGACAGGTGAGGGATTTTTCTCCCTGCCCCAGATAAATGTTCCCTCTCTCACACCCAGCCAGGAAGATAAACACTTCATCATGTACTTATCTAAAGTTTTGTTTTTTAAACCTGTGATACTTCCTTTAATCAAAAAGTTTCCCAGATTGGTGTAATTATAATAACTTAGTTCCTGTTTTGCACGCTTTTCCTCTGGAAGACATGATACAGAAAGAAACAGGAACGGGGAGGGAGGAGGAAAAATGCAAGCTCCAATATAATTTCTTAAATTGTAGCTCTTGTGCCTTTGTCACCTGGGAACAGATATGGATTAATCCAGCATAGTTCTTCTGTTGGTATCTTTTAAAACTAAAAAGCAAAGTTTGAGTTTAAAACTCATACAGGGCGGGGGAAGTGTTGGAAGAGAGAACACCATTTCAGTGTGTGAATTATGATGTCAGTTCTGTATTTCTTGGTATATGTTTAGCCCTGGAATTGACGTCACCACCGAGCTGGATAGCTGGATCGATAAATTCTGCTTGGACGCGGATGTGTTTGTGTTGGTGGCCAATTCCGAGTCGACGCTGATGCAGACGGTAAAAAGTTGATCCTTCCGCTCACTGCCCCCCTCGCTTTGTTTTTAGCTAAACCTTTGCAAGAGTCCCATAAGGTCCAGGGTGTTTCGTAGCAAGGCCTCCAAACGCAAACGCCACAGAAAGCTGAATTTTGCATGTTGCTGAATTGAAGGGAATAGAACGGATTTGCTTAGTTTTCTGTCGGTCTTCTGCCTTGTTCCTCACGTCTGGTTGCAAAGCTTGGTTTCCAGCTCCTGTTTTTAAAAGGGCATCTGCCGTCGTAACCATCCGTTTAAGGTGGAGTTTGTAATGCCAAAGATTAGAAAATCACCCCCACCAGGACTGGCAAAGCAGGCCACAGCAGATAAATAGAGAGCAACCCTCATCCCATTTTACCTAGCCGGGTAATGAAACGTTTGCAAGAAAGGAACCAAGCTCAGAGGACCCCAAGGACTCCACATCAGAAAATCTGTTTCTGGGCGTGTGCTTTTAACTGGAGCCTGTCCCTGCTTTGCTCGAGAGAGGTCATCAAGGGCACAGTTAGGTGGTCATTTACCCCACCTGAGGAACCTGGGCGGAGGGGGCAGAAAAGTTGAGTTTCTGAATAGACGTCATTCCTTTTGCAAGCTGATCTTATGATTCTGAGGTTTTATGGGGGGGGGGGGTTGGTTTTTTTCTTGCCCATCCAGGAGAACCAGTTCTTCCACAACGTAAACGCCCCCCTCTCTCGGCCAAACATTTTCATCTTAAACAACCGCTGGGACGCCTCGGCATCCGAACCGGAATACATGGAGGAGGTGAGGCTGAGCCTAACCCTAACCCTAAAGGAAAGCACCCCGAAAGGAAGACCGATCTTCCCATCCCCTTTTCCTGGCCCCTCTCGTAGGTTCGCCGGCAACACATGGAACGTTGTACCAGCTTCCTGGTGGACGAGCTGGGGGTGGTGGACCGTGCCCAGGCTGGAGACCGCATCTTTTTTGTCTCCGCCAAAGAAGTCCTGAACGCCCGCATCCAGAAGGCTCAGGGGATGCCGGAAGGAGGTGAGAGACCCTCTGAGCCAGTGTTTTTCAACCTCGACAACTTTAAGATGTGTGGACTTCAACTCCAAGAATTCCCCA